CTGGATTTATCCAGAGCATTCATGTCTGGATTGACTTCACATGGACTTTCATCACCGTCCATTGCTTTTAATAAACCCTGATACTCCAGATATGACATATTAATACTGGATGGTTTTGAGTTTTCACTTTTGACTCGCACAGTACCGTAATCAGCTACTTCTAGCATTACTGGTACTGTAGTTGTCTCACTCGCTTCATCAATTTTACTGGTTAAATCGGCCTGTTTAACCGCTTCAGTAAACAATGGAGAATTTCTCACAACAAATACCGACTTGTTGTTATCTGCCATTGCATCATACTGTGGTACTATTGTCATGTTACCAAAGTCAAAATAAAACGGCTTAAACGCCCAAAAATCAATTCCCAGTAAGACGCAGTTACGCTTACTTCCGGTTGTTACAAATGCCGTATGTTCATACCACACGCCAAAAATATGTACATAAAACAATGCACATAATGGCTCAATCGGATTCACATCAGCTATACCTGTAGACAGCACGATATCTTTAACGTGATCGTCACATCGGTATACTTTAATTTTCAATGCTTCCACAATAGACATGGGAATCAATGACAAACTTGATCCCGTATCCGGCATAACACGTACGTACTCCGTATCGTTAATCCGCAACGATAGATACGCTGCTTGTGCATCAAGTGTTGGGAGGTAATTGGTAGGACTTATTTCATAATCTACCATATTTTCCCTTTTTTCCGCAGCCATAGCCTGCATTGTGGGATTTGCTTCCACAAAAGCTTCCACACAACCAGTTTCCGGTTTTGTCTGCGACTTCTTCATCATGTACTGTTTGATCACGTGATCAGGCGGTTCGGCCATGATCGGCTTCGGGGGTGCAGTACTAGCGCGTTTTTTGCTCACATGCGCACCGTGGCATTTGAAACATATCGCCTGCCCGTCAGGAAAATACCATTTAGCGAAGTCAATTTTCACTCTTGGCTTATTATCTGACGCTGAGGTGCTCGGTTTCTGATCTTCCTTCTTTTCAATTTGATCAGGCTTATTCTGCTGATACGTATTTGGTTTCACAAACGGCTTCTTGAAACCTTGATTCGAAAAGTTCGACCCATAATTCCTTGAATTATTGAAATTACTTCTGGCATTATTTCTGTTGCCAGTGTTATCCGTTCCCTTGTTTCCGTCAACATCCTTAATATTCGGATTGTTGTTCCTCAGTTTCCACTGCAGTTTTAAGCAATTCAGGAATTTTGTCGTATCCTGAACGTCTTGCTCTTCCATGTATTTGTACCATCCATACCGGTACAGCTTCAAGCCTTGCTTCAGATAATACGTGCGCTCGACTTCACTCAACTTCAATTTTTTGAATGAATTTGTGAACCAGTCGACATACGTATTTGGCGTGTCATCATTGGTAAAATTTCTGTTACCAATTTTATCTCTGACGGCCATAATGTCTTTTTCATCTGAGAAGTGCTCTCGCAGATATTCCTTCCATTTCGACCATGTCTCCGTCTTATGGGCTTGGTACTTATCGTTGTACCAACTTTGCGCAGTTCCTGTAAGGCATCTGGATAAACACTTATCCACGATCTCTTTATCTGTCCAAGAATTATGCTTTATGCAGTTCTCCACGCTTTCGATAAAGTTTTCCACTTTATTGGCATCTGTCTCGCCATTGAATTTCTCCGGCCACATTACATCGCTTTTTATGGCACCTTTCAATGCTTGTGCCAATGATTCTGCGGTAAGTGCGCCTGAACTAGAAGTTTCTTCAACTTTCTTCGTATTTTGCACTACCTCTGGGTTAGTGCCTTTTTCTTCCTGCGCTTTCACTCTTTTTTCAAGTTCCAAGACTTTCATTGCCAAGTGTTGATTGGCAATTGTGTCCGCTTCCGTTATCGTAGGTGAAGGAGTACGGTCATCTCCCAATCGTTCCTGCATATTATGCACTTTGGAACGAATGTACCTGTACTCTTCATTCCTTTGCTCGCTCCTTGTCTGAGCAGTTGGCTTTTCCTTCCCAAGATTCAACGTATCTTGGATGTTGCCACAAATTTCCTGAATTTGAGAGCGCAATGGTGACGTTTGTCGACGAGTATACCCTTCGTCGATCTGTCCGTCCGTTTCTTTTGCCTTCTCCCTATCTGCGTTGAACTTTGCAACATTTGCTTCAAAAGTTGCCTTAGCCTCCATAAACTGTCTGTGCTGTTCTTTTAAATTTTCAGCAGTTTTATTCAGCATTCTTTGTGCTTCTGCTTTGTCTCGTTCAAACACAGATTTTTCAACTGCTAATTTATCATTGACACTTTTTGCTGTGTCACGTTCAGTGTTGAACCGCTTTTTCAACAAATTGTTTTCCGTTTCCAAATTTGCTTTATCTTTTTGCAAATCACTTGTTATACGGTTTGCCTTTTTTAATTCCTCTTTCAACTGATCGGCAAAAGATTGCAAACGATCAAAATTGTCAGACAATCCCGTGTGTTCAGAAACCAAACTTTTGTACAAATCATTCAGATTATTGTACTTCTTCTTTTCTTCCAACAATTCCAGTTTAACGTCACTATTTTCCGTTAATAGCTGGTTTTCTAGATCAAATTTATCTTTCACTTGTTCCACATCATCTTGCGACTGTGCAATTGTGGATTCTCCCATAACTTCCTTTTCAAGTTGTATCACGTCATTCAAATCCAAACGATCAACTATTGTTAGTCGCGAATCTTGAGATGACGTGCTTTCTGGGTACTGATCATCCACAATAATACTGTCTCCCGTATTATCTGTATCAGTTTCCGTTTGCTTTTCACTTGCACTTGGAGGTAGTTCACTGACCTCCTTTTCCACTAGTACTGATTTCACTGACCCAGATTTTTTGGCATCTAAATATTTATGCCAAATATTCAGCAACTCTGTGCCGTACTCCAGGTCATAATCTGCCAGTGTCAAATGATGCGTAATTCTGGTGGGGATTTTCCGTCCCGTCATGATCCAATGATCATAGCCTGCTGGCTTCCGATCCGACTTCCCTGCATTATAAGTCACCCATTCCTGACTTAACTCTCCTGTACGGGTAAGAACAATTTTCCACCGCGTGAAAAATGTTCCCAGGTCTCCTGATTCTGGTGCAGACCACTGCACTACTGGAGGAACCTGATAATCTGCTTTCTCCAACATTTCTGCAAATTGACTTGCAGATACACATCCCTTTCTTCGGGACTTGCTTGTTTTTCCGCTGGAAGTTTCCTCCAACGTACTTCTGCTTTCAACAGGTGTCTGGGATGATACGCTCACTGAGCCATCCGCATTTCCTGTTTCTGAAGACATTCTGTCTGCTTACAGCGAATAGCTCTATACTTACTGATAGAGATCACTGACCTTGACCTACACGCCACTAGCGTTAGATCAGATGGCTAACGCAGTTACTGCCAGAGCCGCACTACGACTCCCAGTACAACTGAACGTTATACGCCGTACAAGTACAGATTCCTCTGCCTTGCGCCAAATAAGATCGCCCAACGTACCCGCGTCCAGGTACGCTCAGACAATCGGAGATCTACACCTGTAGACTCCCGGCACCTGGTTCTCACTTAGGAACCGTGCCAGACACCTGGTTCTCACTTAGGAACCGTGTCCTCCACAAACTTCCTCTAAGAAGCTGGGGAAAACCAAAACCACAGTACAGTCCCACTTAGGAACCGTATCCTCACAAGGTCCTCTGAGGATCCCTGTGGTTCTACCACTTCGACCAAGACTCAACACTTTACCAGTTTCCCAGGGGTTGTTACAATCCGGTGGGCGCCATGACATGCTATGCGGAAGTCGCACTACGACTACCGCACTAGATGACCAAACCTTACTCAATCGACAAAGTGGGAAAATAAGAAAGATAAATGTTTTCTTATGTCGAAGCTCTACTTACCAAACTATTACCTATTCCTACGTGCACGAGAGTTATCTGGAAGATGTAATTATCCAGAGTTAGTAAAAGGGATGTGACTTCCGGTAGGTACACGCTACTGCTTTCGCTACTAGAAGACACGAGAGATCTCAGATTCAGGATGTTGTTATTAAATTGCAATTCCATAGATGTTCCAGTCAAGACTAAATTGCATATCAAAATTCAAGAGAGATAACGCCGCAATTAACATGGGATCAATCTGGCGCTAGTGAGTCACAGAAGCTAGCAATTATCAACCAATTAGCGGCGACATAAGCAACACCAATCTCGTACAAAAGTCTACATGTACGACGCTTCCTACCACCACCGCGTCAATACCATGAAATTTTCTGAAATTTTTAGATTTCCGTCGCATATTCCACCGGATCTACCGGGACTGTTTAAAATTTTGAATGATGTCGTAATTTTTTTTTGTATTAACAGCTTTTTTGTGTATTAATGTTAAAAACATACAATCATATTTCTGGTTTCAAGCTGCTCGCTTCGGTTTTGGATGCGCTTTTGGGTACAGAGTACATTGCAAACATCACAAACTTCAGGTTAACGTTAGCGTAAATTGCGTAAGCCTTATACTTAATTACCGTTAAAGCAAGATGCTCCGTCTTCATAGACAAAATGCTGGTTGCATTGCTGGCAAGTATTTTTCGCGTAGCATCTTGAATGGTAGCGGTCAGCTGCGACGTCGACCGCATAAAGGATTGGCTGGTGATCTGGAAGAGACTGTTAGCTTGGAATGACCGGTGAGCGTAGACCAGCAGCATCTCCCGGTCTCTCTCGTCGTCAGTGATGGCGTCCGAGAAGCCGGAAAATGTCAACAACAGCGCAGTGATAAACACCAGGGCAATCATTTCCGGTTGCCAAATGATTTAAATATCGCTGACTGGCATGCAATGGGTATAACCGTATAAGAGCTGGCAATTTTGGTAGTGCTGAAAGTGTGTATGTACCGTATACAGTATACTAAGATGATATTATTATGGCGCATGAAAGTATGCGTAAAGAGAAAAACAACAGTAGAAAATAACGATCAAATGCACGATAACAGTTTATGTTCAAAGGTGCGCACGCCGGATATTACGCATTTTATCATCTTCGTACCTGGATTGTGCATCTTCGTACATTCGTACCTGGATTGTGCATTATATAGATAGTGTGACAAAAAAAGGCAGAGACAAGTGATCAACATTACGACATCGATATCAGAGCCGTAATAAATTACAGTATTCAGACACATCTAATGGCGAAATGAATAAACAAGGTCACAGACACTGAGACACTAGAAAAAGGACTATGCAACAAAGCCCCGTGGGATTAATGCAATTTCGTGCAAGCTACACTAAGCAAGGATTGTCGCCTAAAGAAAAAGCGGACGATTTATATCCAACAGTTGGACCTCCACGTCGACAGATAAACGGGGAGTGCAGCATACTGGAGGGAAAGGCATCGTTTGTCCAAGAGTTATCGATGTGGTACACCGCTCGGGCCGCTTTGGACTGAATATATCTGCAATGTCGATGTCTTAATTATCGTGTGGCGTCACTGGCGTGAGCATTCATTACCATACACTGGACATCGAAATGGTGTTAACGCATACCCACTTCAACCTGTATGCATAGCGTTACCGGCTGTTGTTTTAACACCTTTAAGACTATGTGTAAACAAATAATTTTAAACAAAATAAAATATCAGAACGCGTTAACATGCTTGTAAACGTACTGTACTGGATGTACAAATGTTCTGCATGTATATATACTATATCTGTAAATGGCTATTTGGGTTTCGAGGGCACTTTCGACGGTACAACAAAACCTGGTATCACTTTTGATAAATATTCCATCTTTTATAATTATTTTAACTAATTAAATCGGATACATGCTTTTGTTAGTAGTTCACTAGTCCTAAAAAAAATAAATGACCGCCCCAGTTTTTCTGCAGTAAAGCTTAACAATGGCCCGCAAGTACGGCTTTCATGAAAAGCTATTCCGAATGCGTTTTCTTTGTAATCGATCGACGCTCGTTTAATTATATTGTGAATTAAAATATTCAAGATGTACAAGTATGCACTATTGTAACTGTCCTGTACCTGGGGTTACGATCCATCCACTGACGAAACCACTCAAACTCGCAGCCGCAGTGCAACCGGTTCAAGTAGTATTTGTAATCGGCCGTTGAAGGCGCTTTGCCGGCCCGCGCGCCGAATTCCAACGACAGCGCCTGCAGATATGGTAGGTCCATGAAAGTCCACTGCTCCAAGTGTTTGATGGTGGTGTTCTGGAACGCGATCATCCTCACTTCCGGCGTGGCGACAAAATCATCCCGCCGGACATCTAGCTGCCGGCATCCGGACAGATGAAACCGCAGCAACCGATTAAATTGAAGGTCGGCCAGTTTGCCGGTAGTGCGCGAGTCCTGGCAGTTGCGCAGCAGGAGAACGGCGACATGCGCGGCGATAGGGTGGAAGATGCGGGAGGAAATATGGGCGTGGTCCGTGAGAAAGATGCCCGCCGGGCGGATGGGCTGCCGGGCGGCTCGCTGGACTTGGGACAGCAGTTCGGCGGTAGGTACGGTGGCGCTGCAGCTGATGATGGTGGCGTTGAGGGTGGCTGCCAGGGCGCGGTTGTCTGGATGTTTAATGGGAATGTCACAGTGGGGCGTGGTCAGAGTGTCGTGGCACCAGGCACAATCTTGGGGGGATCGGCACACCGTCGACGGTAAATAGGCACTGATGATAGGACAAAACTGCATCCGGCCGCTGGGATGCATATATTCTGGTAAAAAAATTTTTAAGACTCAGCAGATACTGAGCAATAAATGATCTGATAGATATTAAATATAAATACTCTGTTAGCATGATTGGATTATGTTGCATTATTCAAACCATCTGAATTTTCCGAAATTAATAATACCCACATATCTTCGCTTTACTTTCCTTTCGATTATTTGTGATACGCGACACAAGTACAATATTTAAAATACAGTCTGCATATATGTATTTGCTATAATAAACAGGGACTTAATAATTAGTCTGTAAGTACAGTGTATTAAGCGACATAATTTAATATTTTATGTACGTAAGTTTTATTTTGTGCTGCTGTTTGTCAGATTTTATTACTCGATATATGCAAACGACAATAAAGTTATTGATAATAGCTGCAGAAGTAGTGCGAAATATTGCTCATACCGAATCATACGTACTGGTTGCGAGGGCGTAACGTAGGGAAACTACCGGGCGTCGTTTTTGTGTGGTTGAGGACGACGGGTTGAGAATCAGCTGCAACGAAGAGGTACGTCCGAAAGCGGAAACGATATGTGCGGTTGTGTCCGCTTTATCCATTTGACCAACGATACGATGGAGCAATTTCCGCTGGGGTGCCGTATCGTCTAGTATTTGTAATTCTTGCGAAGCGTCCAGAGCATAAGACCTATAACAGACAATCATTACTTAATGATTAGTCCCGGCGGTGCAGCTTGTTGGTTATCACAACCATTAAGTCAAGTGATATGACGATGCTAATTTTATATTCCACATATGAATAATATCATGCACGACTACAATCAGACAGTCAATAATATTAATAAGAAAACAATTTAATAATTAATGCTGTATTACATAAGTAGATTGTTTATATTGTGCTTACGTAGGCTGTAAAAAAATCGCAGTACCGGCTGCACACCGGGCGGACACCTGGATACGCACTGTGCAGCGGTTGGGCGGTAATTTGAAGAAGGACATCTGACCAGTGTTGTTAACGGTTGAACAGCCAATGTGGATCGTTCTGCCGCAGTATCGTTCTAATAACCCTGCAAACAGCTGTGCGATACATTGCAGGTATACCGGAATCAATAATACATAATTATTATGTGTAAGGATTTAAGGAACCTAGTCTGAGTAATAATTAGGTAATGAAAACTAAAATGAATTAACATGATATTATTAAAAATTTAAACACTGAAATGCGTGCAACATGTTCACAATTAAACTGCTCTAGTGCAGTACATACGTATATTATATTGGTTATTAAATTACCTAGAAATGGCTGTTGTCACCCCCCTGCAACCCCCTTTTGACTATTGTCACCCCTTTATTTAAATAAAATACACACCTCCTTCTGGTTATTGCCACCACCTTTCAATTTATTGCTTATAATTTTTTTTCATTTCTTTTCCTACCAGCACCGGCACGGAAAGGCGCCAAGCCAAGCTTATGGACACAGGAAATTTAATGAGTTCCGCAGCGAATGCGATCGCCCAAAGTCCACAATTATAGCCACTCCTTTGGTGCTCCAAGAAAAAAGAAATCCGATGTCCTCGCTTCCGGTTGATCTCACTTCTCAACACTTTCTTAATCAGTGGTGCCGACAGAGGTGGTACCGCGGATTTCGCCGGCAGCGTCGAGTCATAAGCGCATATGCTGCCCCTCTTTCCGCCTTAACAGCATCCAGGGGTTGCCGGCAGCTTTTGTACTATGTACCTTTCTGGTGGTTCACTAATGCGAATTACTGTGCCTTATAAGAACTAAGGAGTGGCAGTAGTCAAAAGGGGGTGCAAGGGGGTGACAATAGTCGCACCCTGTTAAATTAGTTGTATTTTATTGTTAATATCAAGTCTACTCATTCAGTTGTCGATATGATGTACGCGCGCGTATATAGTTGACAAATAAGCCGTTGCAAAAATCAGATCGTATAGGTAGTTTTATATCGGTAGCTTTTGCCGTACAGTTTTCTGCTGCGGTATCCACCATCACCATGGCAAGTATTCCAAGGATTCCGACCCACAGATAGCACATTTTCAATGAATTCTTGTCCAGAACTCTTCAACGCTCGCAAATGTGTGATCTGCAGAGATAGCGCTGATCAGTGGAAAAACTCCGCTAATTGCAGGCTAAAACATTACCAACAACAAAAAACCGGGTTTTTAGCGTTATGAGGTGGTGTGTGTCTAATGTTACATATATTTTGATTAGGAATAACTTAAGGACCACAATGCCACCTGGGACACGTGTTTGGCCATTTTGAAACTATTCACTTACTTTGATGATTTGATCAGTTTGATGATACTTGTTTATGGCGGCTGTTCCTCGGCGCATCCGTTCGGATCGTATCAAACCTACAAAATACTTACAAGAATCGTCATTTCCGCTATGGGCAGCAGCCTGGCAGTGAGGAGCAGCCAAGCTGTGCTTTATAACAGCATACGCGACACGCCGAGTGAGGATGTCAACACTGGCCTTGACACGAAGATACCGCAGTGTGATAACGAGCAAAGATCACGGGCAGTGATTAACCAAAACAGCCTTTACTGCAACGGGGAAGGAAAATATTTATTAACATACTTGTGGATTCCGTTACCATGCCGGTACACCTGTGACGGAGAACTGAATTCGAAGCGCTGGCCAAAGGTCACCGAAATGTGCGCCACATGTTTTTCGAACTGACGTGTGATCGAGCCGGCTTTACGCGTGTGCGCTTTAGTTGATAGTCACATGCTATTCGGCCGGCATACTCTGTGTTAAGACTTAGCGTACAATACAGTATTGTACTACCAAGTATTACGCGGTGCTGTCAGTATCACGGTGTACCTGCCGGCAACGTGCGCGCTTACAGTGGAACGGAAGTTTGTTTATTCCGGCTTATTAGAATAACGGCCTTGATCGACTAGTGTTAAATTAATTTTCTACACCGCACGTCACTATCTCAAGGATTAGATTAAGAATGAGGCTATGGTGGTGGTGGATTGTGGCTTTTGCTCTGATGGCCGCGGTGACGGCCAGAAAGGTCGATCGCACCCGTAAATCCGGCGAATACGGGAGAGCTGTGGTGGAGGCAGTAGTGGAACAGATTGGCAAAGTGTACGGCGACGATAAGGACTTCTTGCGACGTCTGGCCTGTTTTGCATCGCAATACGGAACCGTTAGACAGGATTTACGGCGGAGTGCCACCGGGATATGGCAGGCACGTTTGAGACTTTAATATTTTGATGCGTGCGATACAGCTAAATAAAATAAACTTTATCACACAATCTTAATTTCAGGATAGTCATGTTTTCCTTTCCTTTTCAGTAATGTTTGATTTTGTTTTCGTTACTGCTTCTGTTTTTCGTATTCACACAAGACATTACTGGAAGTATTCCGGGAAAACGTATAATTAGACTCACGAAGTTTACCGGTTTTTTGGTTTTCTTAAGTGCCTCTTTTTGGTGTATGAAATCTTTTACAATTGCAGTTACAGTATCAGGCAAATTTCACGGTATGCAGCTCGCATCACAGAATTATGAAAACCTGCGTATACACAGCATGTATCTATAGAGTCAGTTTTTAAATTACTGGTTTTTAAAACTGCATATGTAAGTGCAAATATATGCAACTGCTTACTAAAACCTGGCGCCAAGGACAAAGTAAAACAGAATTTCGAAATCGATTTCCGGTAGCTGAGATAATGTTCGCCTGTGCTGCGCACCATAGATATCTCCCGAGCGATTCCGATCAACGCAGAATGTGCAGAGCTACAGCTTCCTGGCGGCGGAGCACGACCGAATCTACCGGAGTTTCGGCATCCAGTGGCGCTCGGTACGTCAGGATGATCTGAAGATCCCCCTGTACTCGGGCTTGGCGGCGCGACTCTGCATGCTGCTCTGCGGCACCATCGAACCGGTACTGCCTATTCCCGAATCCGACAGCGACCTGGCTTCCTACTGGCAAAGCTGCGCCCAGGTCACGCTCGCGGAGGATGTCGTGCGCAGCCGAATGCCGGCCTGCACTGACCGACAGTGTGGCGTCCGCATGGATATATGCGTCATGGTGGACGCATCGGGAAGTATTGGTACGGAGGATTTCCAACGGTCGCGAGACTTTGTACGCGATTTGCTGCGCGCATACGATCCTCAGCAAAACGCCAATAATGGAAAGCGTACAAGAGATTCGGTAAGCACTCACTAAACATTAAAGTACCATAATGTAGCCTCGGCCCTCAAGTTCGGACACTTTCGTACAGTGAATTAGGCGTGAACTGTACGGACCTCACGCTATTCATTGGATTTGTCACGGCTTGCTGAACTACCAAAAAATACAACTACTTGTATTGCAACTAACTGTAATAACTATTACAACTAATTGCAATAACTATCGCTAATTGGTGGAGCCTGTTATTACCAACGACTCGGTACGCAATCATTGAAACCTTTTTACGGCAATTTTCCAAAGCAATACGGCGGAGGAATACTGACAGTAAATACGAGAATGTATGAAGAACACAAACCGTAATAATAATGCAGCATCAACGGAGTCCTTTTCAGCGTCAACAAAGTCGGTTTTTGACATGAAAGATTTTTTTAAATTCCAAAGAATCGTTTTACAGATTTTTTTGCTTTGTCAAACTTAGAGATGTCAACGGTTAGAAACGGTTAAAAAGTTTGGAAATTCGCCAAAAAACGATCATAAAGTATGGAGAAAAAACTTCCAAAAAAAAGTTGCAGTCTAACCTGAATTCGGTTGGTAAGTAAGGAAATCTCCGGTTCCGTCGAAAATTATCAGCCTCTACAAAGCTAACGCTCTTTACTCGAGGCGGTTATGAGCCACATAAATACCAGAAACGACATTTTTTTTATTCGAACCTGTCGAAGCAGCTTGGTAGAACGTATAAACCTGTTGGCTGCTTAATAAATTTTACACGCAAATTGTAGGTACGTACTCATATCGTGGTGTTCTCCAGTGCTGTTCAGCAAGTCACCGATTTCAAGAGCACTACAGCGGAGAAACTGGCAGCGATCGCCAGCGCACCGCATCTTCAAGGCGGAACAGCCACCGCGGACGCCGTTCACCACTGCTACGGCGTACTCCAGAACAGGCCGACCACCACGGCCGCAACGCCCAAGGTCAACCTCCTCCTAACCGATGGCCAGTCCAACGAATGGCGATACGAAAGCCTCGACTCCATTCTACAGAAAAGCGCGTTAGCGAGCATCACTTCGTACGCTGTCGGCGTTGGCCCGGCACCCAACCAAGCCGAACTACTGACCATTGCCGGCAACCGGGCTGAGCGGGTGTTCAGCGTCACCGCCGCCACCGATCTGCAGCACCGGTTGGGACAAATTCACAAGGCTACTTGCCGAACACCGCAGACACCCCGGCCTAGGGAAAAAGTGTTGGAAACGCTGGGAAAGGATGAAACGCGTTTGCTCAAGTATCAAATCGTCCAGAAAAAGAGCTATAAATGTATTCGCGAAATAAACGGTCTGCGTAGGATAAGCAGATTAATTATCATAGTGCAATGGTCATAAGTATGAAGAAGACAATATTGTCACGATAGCGTGCTGTACTGCAGCCAACGCATACCCAACGCTTGCACTTATATCTCTCTTTCTGGACGGGCTTGCGCATATCGAAATACCAGCCCGTTTCAAAAACGGGTGACCACTATAATATATAGCCGTGAAATTCCGTGAACACAAGCTGGAGCCAGTTAAAACTTACGTCGCGCTACGCCCCTGGTTTGCTGTTAGTTTAATTCACTGGCTGCATCCACCATAACACAGCACTGCATATAGCCACTGCTCTACAATCCTCTTCATACGTTATCCTCTTCATACGTTATAGGCGGCCTATGTGCTGCACGCTTACAGTGGTCACTCATTTTTGAAACGGGCTTGTAGACTTTTAACCCGCAAATTAAACACGCGTTTAGAGCAGTGGTCAATTAGTTAATAACTTACCACAATGTGTACTTTATTTGTGAATTCTTTAGCGAATAGATAAGACTAATTTGACTGCAGGTTACAAATAACGGAAGACACCGAAATCTCCCTGGACGTCCCGGTAGGCGGCGCCAAAGTATACTACAGCCTCAGTCATGAGAACCCATCACCGGCTCTCCGCGACGGCGTATGTACGGTGCCGGGCTGCGTCATCCGATACCCGAGACAGCGGCCGCGTCGCGACGTTGTTCCCTCAAATGCAACTGGCAACCAAAGTGCCCCAGTAAATGTGTACATCAGCATCATCGGCACGGAGGACCTAAATAACATCACCTTTAGCGCGCAACCAGCAGCGGAAAATCCTGCTTACGTGCCCACCGACGAGCCGACGGACGAAGACGCCGAAGAAACGGACGAGGTCGACACGTCGACCACAACTGCGGAAGACAACACAGCATCTACCGATGTCACCACGTCGGCTCTGTCAACGTCTGCGGCTACCAGTTTGGAGACAAATACAACCACAGCAACCGTCAACGACATCACGAGCGGGATTTTGCATTCTACCACGGTACCGTCTGAACAGGCTACAATTGTCTCTGATGAGGTCACTACGAATGCAGTGTCCAGTGCAGATGCACGTCAATCGCCATTCGTCGGTCCAACCAGCCAATCGCCGTCCGTCTCACGGTTCACCACGACTGAAGAAACAACATCAGTGGAAAGAGCAGTCACAGTCAGCATACCAAGCAGCACGTTACCTTCCAGCGACAGTGCGTGGACAATTGCCGTTCCTCCCGCGAAAGACTCCGCCGCCACGATGAGAGCCAGTCTTGCCATTCTCCTGACATCTTTTGTGCTGACAATCGTGGTTTCTCGCGTCACTTAGAAAAATTTGTATGCCAATCATTGCATATCTATCAGTTTTCGCACCCATTAGCAGTGCAGCGGTCTTTTCCGCGCTTATTATCGAGCTTTTGTTTTTGGTTTATTACGTTTTTGTAATCGTATGGCTACTCCAGAATAGCCGCACGGCAATCATACGTAATGCTGTGAAACTGGAAACATGATGTCTAACGCTTTTTGAGGCGAAAGGCAAAAGTTTATTCTTGACGTAGCATTTCGCTACGCTCGCTGCAAAATGAATATATTTGCAGTATTGCTCTATTTTATCCGTTGACCGATGGTCTTTTGCAGTAGTCAAATGAATTAACGGCGCGCTGCCAAATACCTAAAAGGCAAAGATTATTCAAACTCGTAATGTACGTCCTACGTGCCACCTCATCCTGAAGAATATAAATTTCATAATAATACATGTAGAAGCAACAAAAACAATTTCAGTAGTTCGAGTAGTCGGTCGCGCAGATACTGTACATGCGCCCATAGCTTTCGTTGTCAGTTTCCGGAACCACGTACTTTGTACTGCTAAGTGGATAGAGATGAACTGATACAAATCAGTGAAATACAAAGTCGTTTTGCGCGTGTGCTCAAAACCGCCCCGAAAGTCTCGGTTCTTCACGCGCTGAGAGCAGCCGTATTAATACTGAATTTATTGCTTTGAATCCCATAGGCAAATTACTACGTACACGACGGCAGTGTACAGGCATACTAATAATAATTATGTTCGCAGTTCGTGTACAGTATTACGCTTTCTTGTATGCATTGTGACGGTTTGGCAGTTAGTTTTTGGGAAACGGGATTAATTATTCTGTTAGTATATTAGTACATTATGACTGATAAGTCCATTATTCGCGCAAACTAGCAGTTATAAATTGTGCGTTCTGGCTGGAAATGTATAATGACCGTCATTAGGAGTGTTGTTTTTCTTAGCGCTTGCGCCATCTTTGGAAGCATTATGTACATGTCCGGTATGTACAATACATGCACGGCCTATTTTAGTGGTTAAAACTCGATACCTGATACGAGAATTAGCGCGGTCTTGAAGTGCAAGTACTCCATTTATTCCCTCATTCCAGATTAAAAACAATAAAAACCGTTGTAGAATTGTTTACTGCAGGTTGTACAGCGTAACATGGGACCATTGTTTTCACAACAGATGCCGATCCGGGAATAACATCTCGCCCATTTTTTCGGCAGTTTTGGCACCATGCCATCTCCTATTCCATTTCTTCCGGGCTTAGTAAGTAAGATTAAAAAACAACGCCCCTACTGTATTTCCGCTTCCGGTTTAAACGTTGTCAGAAGGTTTTGAACGTTTTGAATCACATCATTTCGCAATTGATTTTGAAAGCTTCCCGTGTACTTTGGTTGAGTAATCAATTTTATATGGCAAATGACATTGATGCGAACTCGGCACTTGTACTTACCATTAGTAAGCAATACATGTATGTAATATAATTATTTTAATATTGTACGAGTAATAAAATAATATGGGATGTTCACAAACCACAGCACTCGAACATATCGGTGTGAACAAAAGCCAGTCGAAGCCATTAAAAAATACGTTAAACTTTTTTTAAAATGTACTTGTATGTAACAATTTTAGTTTTTCTGAATACGTTCACTAAATAATATAAATAAGATGTTGAACCTAAACGCAACAATTCAATTGGTCAGGATGTCCACTTTTACTGTAAAAAGGGAAATTAAAGTACACTGATTACTGACAGTTTCTTCGGTCATTCGAGAAATGCTTTAGCAAATGAAGTTGTAAGATAGCAATTACAGAAGACCCAGTCTAACAAATTTAGGTACTTGTAAGAATAAAGAAACGAAGAATAAAAAAACGAAGAATAATTTAAGCACAATCATACAAATTGTTATGATACGCTGAATTAATACATACAAGAAACAGCCTCGGCTTCGCCTCCGCGTTTCTTGTGATCCCCAGTCTACGGCCGGTTTATTCAAAGGATTTCATTCAGTTATTAAGTTAACAGCTTATTCCTTCAGGGAAACAAAATGGTCCGAAAATAGCACTAAAACGCAGATAGGACAAAAACTGAATTTATGGCTTTTGTGCACCCATACGCATTCACTTTTATTCAGAAGGAGATTTTTGTTAATTTTTCTCTCCCGACTTTGAGTCCACCAGGTACTTAATTTCAACCTGAAGAATGCTTGCAATAGATGCTGGGATTAGTTCGGTCCATCACCTAGCGGGCTTCGTGTGCTGGACAGTAATGGAAGTTCGGTCACTTGCTCACCTTGCGGGCACCCTGCTCTGGACAGCAGCGGTAGTTCGGTTACTCGTTCACCTAGCGGGCTGTGTGCTCTGGATAGTAGTGGTAGTTCCGTCACTCGTTCACCTATTGGGCAGTGGGCTCTGGATAATAGTGGAAGCTGGGTGAATTCCCTTTTTATTTTTCGTGTAATAAAGATCTAAAATGTAGATACCGTATTATTATTCCGTATTATAAGGAATAATTTAATTTAATTATGCTGAGTAATTGATTACTGCCCTTAGTTTTGCTCGGACTGCAATGAAAGGTCAGGCCGTTTGAACGATTACTATGGTCAGTTTCTTTTGCAGCTACCTTCAAATGGCTTTTCACGAGCTTTCTTATTCTTAAGTTATGTTTTTGAGCGCTTTTAAATTGTTAGCGATTTATAGAAACGAAGCCATCCGCTAGCAGCATCGTTTGTGTTTCTGCTAATTGGCTGTAGGAGCAAAAATTTAAACCTTTTTAATTTATTGATATAAAAAGGTACCACTTAAAATTTGCTCCATTCAACCGGACTTTGAAATTATTTTCAAGGTCTCCTTGAGCTTTCAGCTCTACCGGCACCGGCGTCTGTGAACGGGAGCCGGAGCGGATAATTGTCAAACAAAATGCATGTGACACGGTTTCCAGACATGCTGAATCGAATGGCGTTAGCTGTTTTTCGATTAATTTTTTGGTTTGTTCTGACCAGATCGTACGGGGTTTTCCGTTGTAATATAGATCTTTACCTTGATACCTTGATATATATGCCTACATACTTGTATATTTCAAAGATGAAACGGCAAGGAACAAGATCGTCCTAGCATTAAACATCGTGTCACTCTACACCGAGAACTGCATCAAATTCAAACAACTAGCGCGGAAAACCAGCACAAAGCATATCCATTTCGAACACCATCCAAAACCGTAAGTATAAAGGTATACGGTATTCTTCAGATTATATGTGTCACCGACACAAACTTTCCGCTCCGATCACAGTTTGGCAAGTGTCAGTGATACTCTTACTACAGTATCTAGACTGTACATAGTTACTACCGTACATGGAAAAACGGCATTCCGTTCGGGGATAAATCTTTTTAGGCATGAATGCCATGCGCACAGCCAGCATTCCATAAAACTGGGCGCCGAGTGCCTGCATCTGGACATCCTCGTCCACGAGATCATGCACGCTCTGGGATTTTCTCACGAGCACCAGCGTCCCGATCGCAACGGTCATGTCCACATACACGAAGTCAACCTGAAGACCGACGAATCCGTCCAACGACAGTTTCGCGTTCTCCCGCACATGGAAACCTACAGCCTCGGCTACGACGTCAACTCCGTAATGCACTATGACGAATTCGAGCCGCATTTCGCTGTCAACAAGTCGCAAGCGGTGATAACATTCAAGCAGGAACGCCAGCCACTGTTCCACATTTTCAGCCAGCTCGATGTGGCGAAATTACGAGCAGCATACCAGTGCCACGTTAAGAACACTAAAGGTCACTATCCGCCGTTTGAAAACGCTTTTACGCTTTGTGAATCGATGCACTTGTTGCTGTAAAAGTGTGCTTGTATAGATACTGATGAGAGCATTCCATCGTCCGCGACAACCCCCGCGGCGACAACATCAGTTCCAGTAGACGACACTGTACCGCCGTGGCAGAATCCCGAACACTGTAGCCAGTCCACCACATTCCAGCAACATCTTTACGCTCACGCTTCCATCTTGCATTGCACCTGGGAAGTGACGCATGCCGATCTGCAGATCCTCATCGACCGCTTCGAGCGTCTACACTATCCTGTCGGTATCTTCCTCTACGACAGCAAAAAATACCTCAAGCCGCAGATATTCCAACCTATATCCAGGCAGGTTGTCATTCTCAACCTGCAGTATTGTGTGCGGCGATCAACGAGCGAGACACCGTACATTCTGGGTTTCCGCAAACTACAGCGATTCCAGCTGTCGCACTGCCTGGATTTGGATATACGCAAGCAGCATTTCGACACACTAGCCGAGTTGCGCATGATGACGCTGCACAACTGCACGGTTCTCCATCTGGACCGGGACACGTTTAGTAATCTGCCGCAGCTCCACAGCCTATCGCTGGATTATGCAAGTCCCGGCATTACCAAAAGGTCACCAGCCTTTCGAGCCTTTTTATATCGTCTGCATTGTGGTAAAAAATTTGCCTGGTTTCGTTGTTGGTTGGAGGCGTTTCCCCAGTATTTCCAGTCGAGAATGGAAAAGGAAATTTACCATACGGAGAAATCATTTACGAACGCTGCGGTGGACGTGGACACACTGCGGGTGCTGTACGACTGTGAGACCAACGAGACCGTTGCGTTGTCGACTGGTGGACAGCATGAAATGTATTCGCTATTTAGCGAGAATCCCTGCAGCCGAGACTGACCAGTAGCGAAACATCATTGAGTTGCATTCTGAGATTTGATACTGCTGATGTTCTTGGCAGATAACAACACAATCCAGTCAGCTGGTCGACATTAAATTAACGGCGTTTTCCGATGGGTACTTCTGTGATTATGATGGCACCCCGTTGACTCCTGAGTTCACTACTTAGGCTAACGCCAAAGAAATTTATATATATTTGTTTTTACGATGGTTGGTATGCTACTCTGGTACGTACTATGGGTTGAGTAATAGCACTGAACCAAAATGAGATAATGACAAGTCTACCGTAGCGAATGCCATAGCAATGCAGTAAACATGGAATCGTGAGCATTAGTAACAACAGCACTAAACCGCAGTACTGAAAAATGTGCCAGGTAAACCGTTTCGATGAAATCGGTTTTGAATTTACAGCATCATTCACAAACCGATCTCAAAGCAGTACGTATTCATCAGTTTCACATCAGCTGGTCATCCGGTATTATAAGTCCTGACATCGGCCTCGAGCAAACAATTCAAAACTCGTTCCACAATACAGTTCTTCGTTCGGTACCGTACAGTTCATCAGAAACCCAAACACCGCTGTCCGAGATACTCCTTCATGACTTTCCCATCTTTGTGAATTATTTCTTTAATATCGATATCCTTACTGGGAAAAAACGCCCCCAGATACGGATCATCCGGACCTTTTTTATAGTAGAAGAAATCCTCGTTATACGCACCGGTGCCCTCTTCATACCGGTACACCTGCAGCGAAATCGCCGGCGTGTGATCATCCTCGTTTATCAGTTTATGCGTCTGATACAGATCCGAGCGCATCCACGTGATATTCCCTGCGTACACCGTCTCCGCCTTAATCAACTCCGGCGGCTCATAGCTGCCGTTAACGATGGGATTGTACCACTCGGATTTCAAGGAGCCCTGTAGGATCTTGATGACGGCCGTGGAGTTGCCGTGATCGTGCACCGGACTGCAGTGTCGTGCTGGCCACACCTCCAGCACCATATCCTGTCCGGGGGAAATCAACAGCGAACGCCGCAAGGGAATGCGAATATACGAAGAATTGGCGTTGCCGAATAAGCTCTTGCTCTGCTTCATCTGCAGGATACTATGCAGTACACAACCCGGTGTTTTCAGTGAGAAGGTGATCGCGTCTAGATGATCTTGAGTGAATTTGGCAGCTAATACTTTGGATAGAAGACCGGATACAATGGGACAGCTGTTAGGCGACATGTAGAACTTCTCCGACGCCAGATGCTCTAAAGTCAGTTGGTCGTTGGGGATGATGATCGGTTCGAGATCCACCAATACCGGTTCTTTCTTCAGTTTCATCTTGTCGAAAAGAGGAATGTGATCACCCAGGGAGATGGTACGAATCTGCCGCAGTGTCGGGTCGTGGTTGTTTTTGCTTTTCGAACGGAAATGGTACAGAATGTTCCCTACCATCTGGTAGCCGTGGCCGAATTTGATGAAAGGTGGCGCGTCGTCGCCGGCGCTGCGGGATGAAAAAGAGACCCAGTGCGTGAGGCGTGTGGCGTTGGGGTGGATGAGACTGTGAGCGGGGGTCTTCATGATGACTTCGTCGAAGTCGTCCGCATGATCGCCGACGAGCTCAACGTTTCTGTCGCTGATTACCAAAGTGAGGGGACCAAGTAGAAGCCTGTATGATAGCTGGGTGGGAGCCAATGGAGACAGGAAATAACCGACGGTGCCAATAGCTGCAAAAACACTGAACTGAGCAATTTGTTCAGATATGCGCTGCCAAGCATGTTTACGTCGACGTTTTTAGCTCTCTGGGCATTTTCACAATTAGGTTTCGCATATCGAACACCAGAGGCATGGTGTTCTTCTCGTTTTTCCACATGACAAAGCCACTCGAAAACATTTTCCCTGACAATTATTGCATTTTTACATGCTTGTACTTGTACATGAGATTAATCAAAAATATACGTACTGCGAATCTATGTACAGAAGTACTTACTTTTTACGAAAGTTACCATTCGGTATTTACAGATACAACAAACGGTCACTCTTACTTTACATTTTGAACAACTAATCACCAGTCCACATGTGGCGTTTTAAAGATTAACTGCTGATCTCAGCTGAAACAGAATGTGCAATTTTGGGTCTCCATCCGGTTATTTGAATAAATATGAGGGAGGAGTAGGGAACAAAAAGGTTATGGTGACCGGTTGTTAAAAATATATATTATACAGCGAAATTGACCGGTTGTTTAGAAAAATATCGTAGTAGTGATTAAAAAATCGAAAAGGCTAGACACTAGTACAGTAGCCAGTAGACAAGAGTAATTATAGCTGTTAACGTACACTGACCACCGACCAAGGAAACGGTATCAATAAGGGTAGGTGGAAGGTTGATTTGGTTGCGATTACAAGGGTGGCTTTGCAATAGATTGTGTTCCCTAACGGCGCTGTTCGGACTATACGACACTGGACAACTAATCCGGCGTTGGTTGTCGTCGCACATGGCTTTGGGGATGAAACCATCCAGCGGTTGACAGTAGTACATGTCACTCGATCGCTCTTCTGAAATTTCCAACGTTTAGTAACCAGTAATCACTAAAAGCGCAAGTTCTATAACTAAAAATACGGTACTTACACACAACAGAAAGCCGAGAACTCGACTTACTTGTCAGAATGGTGTACTCGATAGTAGCGAAGTAACTGGTACCGGGGACACTAGCGCCAGCATCCCCTTTGATAACAATCATCAGAGAAGGATGCTCCTGGAATATCGACCGAATGTGCGCCACGGATGGTAGAAACTTCTTGGCATGCGGTGCGCTTCGTATCGTATTATGCTTGAACAAGATATTATGTCCAGATCTCTTGTCAACGATGGCTAACGATCGTCCACTGCCCAAGTGCAACTGCCTGTGAAATATGGAAAGTATCAGTATACGGAATCGACGTTCGGGACTGTATTCTGTACGTGACATACATTATGTCGACAGAAGTTTTATATGTCAAACTTACACTACATTTAAATAAATTGCCTTCTGCGAAGGCAGCTCCGATCCCTGAAGGAAGAGTCCGATGGTAACATTGCAATTGGGTGGCGGCATTTTCTGGAATCGGAGTTCGCCTCCTCGTTTATGCAGGTTCTTGGTGGAATATGAGAGCAATAGTTTACTCCCACAACGTTCTTCCATAGTGTGCCGATCTATCAACAGTTAAGAAATACGTTAGCAAGGCATTGAAACAGGACATAAAGTGTTTGGGAGGGGCACGGAAGTTTATATTTTAGTTGGTGCTTGGATATACACCATTTACCGGGCCGTTTTCTCGTGAACGCACCCAAAATTATTCATTACTCAGCAACCGGCACTAGCAAGAAGTTATGCTTTATTAAATATTCTTGTGAGTTGTGACGGCATTTCAAATATCCTGATTATACTTACACGATGCTGGTTCCCCGACATCAACAAGCAATGCAACAGCCGCTAATAAAGCACTGAAAAGCCGCATTTAAAAAGGGTTGTTATCCTCGATGTTAAAAAATTGAAGAACTTTTCAGTCGCTCAATGACGAAATGCTATACTGTAGTAGAACACAGTTAATGCATAGAACTTCTGGAGGTTCCTTTCGTATATCTTTATTTCGATCCGTAATGACCACAACGGCAAGCAGCGCAATACTGCTTAAATTACATTAGAAAACAAGTTTCTTATTGTGCCCAGTTTATGATCCAAGTGCAAAAGCTTATGTGTAACAAGCGGATAATCATGACAGCATATATATGTATATATATATTGTGAGACTTTGCGAACAGTCGTCAGATGGACATTGACCTTTGCTTCGTACAGGGACGGGTGATACACTTTTTCGGTGCGTGCTTGCTCAGGCTAGTTGTGAGAAGCCACGTGTAACCGGTGTTACGATACATTGATTAATACGATGTAGACGTAGTTACGTATTTGAATTCCTTAGTGAGCGATTGCGATCATTCTTGTACAAACCCGTACGGGAGCGTTTACACTTAGATTGTCGAGCGCAGCGGGAATTTAAGGCATTTTCTTCTTCGAAAAATGGCCTGAGCATCACACAGACTCAGGAACACTGAAATAAATTATTTTCCCAAATAGTAACGTTAATAAATGTTTTCGATTAACTTCTTGCTGGCATTATTCTGAACATTTCTCAGAGATTGAACATGCAACGATTGCGCTTCATATTCAGCGGCTTGACCTTCGTTTTTTTGAAATGCGGACCAATAAAATCACAAAACTGTTTTCTGACTGAAGTTTTGCATTGGACTGGCTCACACTCAGTAGTAATTGACTGAGAGAAAACCTAAAAGTATGACAAAATTACCAAATGTACTCGATTCGATTGTATTCACGCACAAGATGGATCATGGCAGCGTCCACCATATCGCTTGTGTCCACATCGCTGCCAACCATTTCACCAACAGTCTCAACAGACGGAACAGGCTCAGGTGGTGACCGGATCACCTTGGCAGTTATAATGAATTTGTTAAAACTCTCCTCTCCAATGACACTGAGGTACAAATACGATTTAGCAGTGTCGCTCGGCTGGCTCGGCAGCGTGGCTGTACTTCGGCGGGATCGTTCCTGCGGACGCGGTATAATACAACCCGGAGCGCGGCAGATGCCGTCGTGAGCTGCCCGCGATGGATTCTCGTAGCCCCATGCGTAGGGAATGTTGACACTGCCTTCTGTACATTTCACGTCAAGAGCAATTTCAGTTAATTCTTCGGGAATGTCGATCCTGTAATTATGTGTAGGTCGTCAATCCGCCATAGGTCCATGCCATAATTATTATGTTAATAAATGGCGTATTATTAATTAGCGTAACAAAAAATGTGGTTATATAATAACAAGGCAGCAGTCAAAAGAAAGCGTTAATTTAATGTGTTCTCCAGTGTGCGGAAAATGCGTACCGAGTTTATGATTTGCGTTACCACAACTGGATCAAATTTAAATGAGTTGACGAGTAACGGAAACGACAAACTAATAAACAACGCAGCCTGCACAAATATTCAAAAGACCTTAATAACGTAAAGCGCTGGCTTATTGTGGTTTTCATGGCGCGCATTTATGATAGATCTCCAGCTTTAGACCACAAGCTGAACTGCTGTACGAGTACCAGAAACTGATAAAGTTGACAGTGAATAACTACGTATATTCACTATATTGTATAGTGTATAATTATGGCTTATTCACAGAGTGACAGAGATATTCGGTACATAAGTTACGCTTGAGTCTAGAATTTTGCTGTGCTGTATCTCTTACTTGATAGGGCGGCATTCATCTTTTCCGAGTGCCTCCTCGTATGGCTGCTCGAACTCGGGTGTCTGCGGCGTCCGACAGGTGGCGCGGCGGATCTGTCCCAGTCGGCTTTGAAGATCTGATGCGGTACGGACGTTGAAAACACGTTCAGAATGGTTACCGGCAATGGACTTCAGTTCTTCCGTGTTAAGCCATGAGCCGACGCCGATTGCAAAGGACACTATGTTGGCCGCAGCAGTCCGCAAGAGGACCGAGTTCAGGCTTTCATGCGTCCATTCATTCGACTCACCGTCCGTTAGAAGGAGGTTGACTTTGGGTGTGGCTGACGATATGGTTGGCATATTCTGCAGCGCGTAGTAGCAATAGTATAAAGCGTCCGCTGTTGCGGTTCCTCCTTGTAAATGGGGTGCACGCATTACTGCCGCACGTTGATCGTCGGTGGTACTGTTAAAGTTCGATACAAATAGTACTGTGCTTGAGAACAGCAGCACGTTCGTACGCACCTGCAAAGCAAAGGTGGAACAATCCAATTTCTATCTAATCGGCTTACCGTGTTCTGCTGCTCAAAATTCTAGCCAACTTAGCAAGCAAGGGAAGGGAATGCAGGTAATCATTAAAGTTTTTGTATTTTAAAATTTTGACTCTAATGGGTTTAAATCCGCGTTTGCACTTTATGATATCGTAAATTATAGCTGCATTAGTGACCTTTCATCCTTTTCAGGATATGCATTGAATTATTCCCTCAGAGCGAGCACTGGAAGCAGTTCGAGCTGAACTTAAGATGCTCTAGCTCTGATAACATCATTTCAATCTTATGACTTACAGATTCACAACTCAGGTAATAAAAGTTAATGTTAGAAGAGGTTAGAAAGTTTAGGTTAGAAAATACCGTAGAAAATGTCACAAAAACACCATCCTGCGAATATTTTCTGCCATGTTGACAAAAAAGTTTACCTGACGCCTGACGGAACACAACAGCATACCTGTTCTCCGTCATAGGAGAAGAGTAAATCATCTACAAACAGCCGCGATCGCTGAAAATCTACAGCATCGATGCTGCCCGACGAATCCACCATAATGCACATATCCATACGCGCTGCGCAATTCTCCACTGTGCAAGCCCTTTTACGATTTTCGACCAATTTATCCTCGATGACCGCATGGGCGCAGGTCCGCCAGTACGCAGCCAGATCATCGTCCGCGTCCGGGATGCTGAGCCTCGGTTCAATGTTGCTGCACAGCAGCATGGTCAAGCGAGCTGCAATGCCGGAGTAAAGTGGCCTGAGTAGATCTAGTGAATCAACATCTGTCCAACTGATATCGAATTCTTTTTTGATTTGAGCATGCGCCGCTTGTAGAAATTTGTGCTGACCAGCCAGCTCACGGGTCAGAAAGAACCGTCTGGGTGAAATCTACGGCACAATGCTCACAATTAAGCACATTAGCTACTGACAACACCCATGATGAACAAACAATCTTTAAGCATCACTTTTGAGGTTTTTTGGTACTGTTACTAGCCAAATGCATTACTGACAGTGAGGGTGACGACTTGGGGAGTAATACACATAAATGATGGTGCATACTTCGGTAATCACATTATTATTAGAGACACGTGCGTTATAAGGTACTAGCCTCTTGTACAATTTTATAGGAACGTATTGGATATGCATGTATTGTATAGAAACGTGTTTCCAGTAACACGCTTACCGAAGTATGCATATGTGCTTCATACCGGCCATATTCCGGTTTTACTCTTCGCCAGATTTTCCCAGTTGGCCCCGTATTCCGAATCAAAGCAGGCGATTCGCCGGAGAACATCATGATCATCAGGAAATACTTGAAGTTTACTGATCAAATAGATCACGTCTTCAACAACATCTTTGCCTGTCGCGTTGGCTGTCACTGCCCAATGCACCCGCGGTTGTCTCGCCCACGTCAAAGGAAGTAGCGACAATAGCAGTGCGGATAATATCATTCCGGCGCAGGGTTCCGGAAAACTGGACTAACTCGACCTTCAACGATCAAAATATTATTAACCTCTCAGTCCCGAAAAGATAGCAAGCAGTTACATTTATGTAGAAGCGAAGCAGATGGAGAAGTCTGAGCTATCGACAAAAATAACGTCGAAAGATCCCGTGAGACGATAAAGAAGTGCAGATTGATGGGTGATAGGAGCGGAAATGAAAGCCGGCATTCAAACCGCTGACAACTGTTACATCGCAAACGATTCTACAGCGGCTTGCATGCCACAAGAAATTTGAGAAACTCTACTTGCGCTAATAATTCGATGGATTCTTGTTGTAGATAATATGGAAAAAATTTAAACCTCTTTGTACGCCGGCTGATTTGCATGACCGTATAAACCACACGACGTCTTTGTAATGAGGAACGTATATTACAGCAGTTTGAAACTATGAAGTTTATTTTTAATATCGTTTAACACATACCACTCATGATACCAGTATAATTATAAATACGTTATATCGCGAAACCGTCGATTGTCATTGTACGAGCCAGACGTCTATTACTCGTATTGCGCTTTTCCGTGCGGTTTTCTTTGGAATCACGCGAGTGAATATTAAAAATTTCTTTTAAAGTGCCGTGCACCAGCTCTTCCACGGAAAAAGCCATAATAATTGTTATTATTGTACGTTCAGCAGCTCCATGGAGATTCCGCATACTGCAAGAAAATCAGCATTTTCCCTTTGAGACATTCTAGATTCCTCTGTCCCCAGAATTCTGCTTACAGCTTTATCAGGAACAACCTGAGTAGACCGTGGATACACTCACCAATATGACAATGTATATTAAAACGCTTGGACTGGCTGTGTTTTCTGTTGTCTGCATTTTGGTCATCGCAGGCCATCACGTGCTGTTATCAAAAGCCGGTACGAGTACGAATAAGCACTTCGTCAATAAATATGAGCGAGCCGATTGATGTTTATGAGTCTGTACCCGGCTTTGCAAGAAATTTCCTCTCACTTTTGACCGTATTTTATAATTATGTGATGCAGTAAAATTGTGCAGGTTGGGAAGCCTAAACGTAAAAAGAAGGCATTGTGTATTAAACAGCCTTTGATTTGGCCTATAAATTCGTCGACAACGTGCACTAAAACGGTTCTAAAATTTTAATAAATTGATTTCAGGCTTGATAAAGCGTGATACTACTGCTCGAATAGAGAGCGAGCCGGAAGCTACACCTAACAAGCGGCAAAACACTGTTTCGTACTATTTCGACTCCAAAATTAAAAGTAAGTAACACTTTGTAACAAATGCACTTAGTCATGGAGCAGAGTTAATATCGTCTATATTCGGTATTGTATTTCGACTGCAAGAGTGGATTGACAGGCATTTAAATGGATAACGTGGCGCACAGGAGCTCTTATTTACAGCTCAGTCTGCAAAAACTGTAGAAGTAGAGACCACTCGTCTGCTGTGAACCGACGATGTACGTACGTCTGTTTCTGTTAGATCTGGAACAGAAAAATACCATCAATCAATCAATGCGTATTATATCGTTGTACACGGACAACTGTATCATCTTCAAGGAGTTAAGAAAGCCTACTGGGATTATACACATACAGTTTATCCCTCACCCGAAATCGTAAGTTCACACTTCACAGTCGGTACACCGTGCTCTGAACTGCTTGTAAATGGTACTCCACAAATATCATTTTTCGCCAGCGATAATACTTTTAGCGACGAGACTTCAAAAAACGTTACTTTATTTTAGGAAATTCTGTCTAGATGAATTCACTAAAACCGGAGAAAGCACCAGAACGATTAAACTGGGAGCAGACTGCATGCATGTCAACATCATCATCCACGAAATCATGCACGCATTGGGATTTTCCCATGAACACCAGCGCCCCGATCGAGACCGTTACGTGCATATCAATACTAACAACATAAAACCCGACGGCATCATCCAGCAGCAGTTTCAGATTTTGCCCGGAATGGAGACATACAATGTCCCCTACGACATCCACTCCGTCATGCATTACAACGAATTTATACCACAGTTTGCCATCCATGAGTCGCAGCCTATAATGACCTTTAAGAACGGCACGCGCCAAGAGCTTTTCACGCTCTGAGCGAACTAGACCTCGTTAAACTTCGAGTGGCGTTTAAGTGCCAAGTCACGCCCGGTTCCAAAACCGCCACAGGTACGAAAAGGACTCGGTTTTGTAACTGCGTTACCACGATTATACTGCTCGATGGATCCGTAATTCAAATTGGCAGAAAGCGGACTAAAACTAAGACTTGTAGTGTAGTAGTACTTACTAAGACAGTTACTCTACTGAGACTTGTAGTTGTAGTGTAGCACTCCACTTATACCAATTGGTCGCTATAAAAAATCAGATTATCTCGACTGTAGTTTATGTATGGAGAAGCATCGCTCACAGTCAAGAAAATCGCGCATAACATCGTGCTTTGTCTAGAATTCAACCATTCTGTCCAGAAGAAACTAAATTATGCCCAATTAAATGTATTCGTAGACGCTGCTCCACGAACACCATCCTCTACAAGAAAACATCGCACAAAACCGGCTCCATCATCGACTGTTTACCCTGAAACAGATCAAAATCCTACGAACTGTCGGCACTCAACGACTTTCCAGCAACAAATGGATGTTAACGCTTCCATAATGCGTTGTACGCAGGATGTGACGATTGACGAAATCGAGATATTAGTTCGGCGTTTCCATCTGCTAGCGCGCCCCGTCGGTGTTTTTCTATATGACAACGAGGCGTACTTAGAATGGTCGATATTCCACAGAATTAGCAGATTGGTTGTTATCCTCCTTCTACAGAACTGCACGCGGCGTTCAACAAGCCAAGTGCCGTTCAGCATGAATTTTCGCGATTTACAGCGTTTCCACTTGTCCAACTGCGTGGATCTGGATATCCAAAAGCAGCACTTTACAGATCTGCCAAATCTGCGAATGTTCTCTTTGCAAAACTGCACCATATACAACCTGGAGACGAACGCTTTCAGTGACCTGCCGCAGCTGCGAAGTCTCTCCCTGGATTACGCTGGTCAAAGCGTAATGCAAAGGTCACCGGCTTATCGATCGTATTTATACGACCTTCACTGCGGAAAGCACAGCTGGTTTCACTGCTGGATGGAGTCGTTCCCCGCATTGTTCCAGTCGCGAGCCAAAGGTGACATTTATCATATTCCCAATTCCTTTGTTAACACGGCTGTGCATGTGGATACGATGCGGACGTTGTTCAACTGCGACACTAACGAGACGGTTTATCCATCGCCAGCAGCGTACTACGAACAATATTCGCTATCTCACCAAGAATGCTTGCATTCTCAAAATGAAACTAATCCTAGCGCTAAAAATGTGATAATTGTTGTTTGACTTACCTCTAACAGTGTGATTTTCTACGGTAAATATCTGCATAAATCCATCGAATGCTCTTCGGAAAATTAAACAGATTTTTCTCCCTAAAATGTTGTCTTTGCGCACATTGTTTCGTGTTTTACTGACCATCGGCGAGTCCCTAAGAGGTAATTATTAAAACAGGAAGTTGAAAAACTTCACACACATTTAACGTATGTATAGTATATACCTTATAAGTTCTACGTGCGTAAAGTGTCAGTGCGGAGGAAACCGCATGCGCGTAATTTCCGCGTGTACTGTCTAACGTTAACATTTATCACCGTTTTCCATCTGCACCTTTACCCCGGTTGGTGCGTGAAACCAACACAGCCATTTACAACTTTGTTTTTCGGTTTAATATTATAACAGTGCCGCTGTCATAAGTGTACTTGTACTCGTAGTCGTAGTCAAAGATAGCAGCAACGGAAAGCAGGCGGTAGTGCCGTGTTATGAGTGCAAGATTCAACATAGTGCTATTTTGACTGCTTCACAGTTCAAGAACAAGCTAAAAATGCCTGTACTAATGGCATTATTTGTACTGGCATTGTCGGGACTGTCGCAAGCTCAGGATGATGGCAATCATGGCGTAGTGCTGGTCTTTGGGCATCAGTTCTTTCGGGCCAACAACAATTTTGAGCTCTCTGTCAAATCATCGGCCGCCCCTCTGCTTCACGTAACAGCCAGCATTGAAAATACCGTCATACATAGCACTATATCACGAAATTCCAGCTATCTGCGACCCGACGAAACGAAGCGCTTGTGGTTACCGGTAAGGGTCAGTTTTAACAGTCCAGTTAAACGGTTTCTTTTTTGTTTTTGTTTTAACACTTCAGTGGTACTCTTTTTTAACAATCGCTTTTCTTTGAAACTGTCTGATGCTGTTTGTAGTCGCAGACAACTCCATTATTAAGGTTTTGACTCTTTTACGCAACTGAAAAAAGCTCTCAATAGTTGTTGGTTGTTGTGTTTAGGGTGCGTTGCAGCGTTGGTCAAGTGTGGACCGCTCAACAGTTTTTTGAATACACCTACGGGCAACGGTATTTTAAATACTTATCGTCGTTTTTCAGGTCGGCGAGGTGGCCCACAATGGAAAATACCAGTTGGTGGTGTCGATCACCCATAATTCGATAACGGAGAACGCGACTAGGGATTTGTTGCTTATGACGGTTCACCGTAATGTGCTTATCCAGACCGACAAACCCCAATACCGACCGGGAGATATCATTAACTATCGCGTTCTGGTTCTGGATGATAAACTACGGTTGGCTCAGGATGTTCCTTCCCTTGGTCTATATCTGCAGGTGAGCGACTAAACCTGACCAATGCCGTACTCGAGCGGTTTTATTGTAATGCGGTCCCACAAGTAGGATACTTCCTACATAACCTACCCTCGTTGAAATTCGGTGCCTCTTGATACCTACCTCCTTGTTGTAGAATCCCACAGGCGACTTTGAAGAGCACACGGACCAGACTTGGCAGTATGACGAATGTGGGTGCCACCCTTTCAGTTATAGAAGAATATGCATGCCGAGAGACTAACAAAACCGGCTACAAATGGATGCCGACTGTAATTAGGAAAACAGTATGAGGTGTTGATGTCTGATGCTTTTGTTTGCAGTTCCGGGATTTTTCAACGGGTCCTTTGGGCCGTTGCCACTCGAGCCTGAACCCGGAGAATGGGCAGTCCTTGTAGCGACGTCAGATCGTGTCAAGCTAGCCGTTAAAAGCATCATGGTTTCCGATTACGGTATAATATACGAGTTATTCGTATGAATAACATTACAGTGATTACGTTATGCGGACTTTGGTTTTTCCTCCCATGTGACTGCCGGGAAGTTCGTTTTCGCATTGTATTCTCGTATCCCAGATTATTGCGCTACTACGAGTCGGCTTTTTACTGCCGTTTGTAGTCGTGTCGTATCAAAATGACCAAACCACAAACACATCCTTTTGTTACAGAACGTCCCCGATTTGTCGTGGATGTCAGCAGTGCTTCTTACGTCATGCGAAGCGACAACAACCTGCATGTGAATATTTCGCTGAGGTAAAATCATGCAAAATACGGTTGCCTTTTCCATGCATGCCGATCTCTTTGAATGTCTCAGTTATTGCAAAGTTATTAATGCAGGGACTATTTCGGACAGCCCATCTCTGGCATCGTCGATATTAACCTGAGCACGTCAAAAACAGCAGATCGGCCATATTTACCACAGGTACGAGGCACTTTGTGTGAATTAACTGTATTTATCTGAATTTTGCAACGGTGAACAATTGCATGCAACGAAGCGCTTCGTAACCGTATTCAGATACAAAAACAAAAAATACACAAACTGGCCTCGCACCGTTCAATGATGCAGTTACATAGCCGCTCCCATGTATGCGAGAGTGATGACGTCAAACGTTGGGTGCCAGTCCTTTTCACGCTATATTAAGTACTTGGTACATGGCAGAATGTTATTGCTACGTGCCGGTAATCACTGCTCCAAAATTCAGACGGTTACGGCTGCTTCACCGAACCAATCTTTTTAAACATGACCTTTACTAATTCCTTCGAGCTGCAGCAGAATGTGTGTTTGTTTGATAATATTGAGTGCATATTTGATAGAGCGTCAATGGCACCAGTCATTTCCAACTACCCATCATTCTCGATAAGATCACGTGCGAGAATAGCGCGACCGCCGCAGACTTGCTAACTGTGAAGGTCACGGCGCAAGCGTCAACCACAACCCGCAGCCTCAGCGCTGCAATAACTGTACCCGTTTTTTGCGACCCGCTCAAACTGATCGCTTCCACTCAGTACCAAACCTTCCAACCGGGCACGCAGTTCAACGTAACAATCAAAGCCATAACGCACGACGGACAGCCGTACGTTCTCACCAGCAAAAACCCCACCCCGTGCAGCGGCCGAATGGAAATCGATGTGGAATCTAGCTTGAACGGGCAAGAATCAGACCCAGAGGAGGACGAGAATGAAGAGAACCAGCTAAAGATAGACAACGCAATAATGCTTGACAGTAATACACTGGTGGTACCAGTGACAACGCCCTCCAATGCCGGCTCAATAGAACTGAAATGCAGGGTAGCCCAGGCCATTCGGGTGTTTACCTTTAAAGAGCACAGCGGGAACTTCGCCGCCATTCGGACTGACGTGGGGCGAACGTACCGTGTAGGCGATGTCGTGGAGTTTTCACTGGAGTGTGCGCAAGGCTGCATTTCCATGGATGTTGTGGTATATTGATTATTTTTTCTCAGTGTACGATACTGACTTACTATTAGAACAGATTGGCGGAACTTTGTTGTAGGTGGTTAGCGAATCCGGAATTCTGTTTACGACAACTTACAATATGGTCAACGAGGAGAGCGGACCGTTGTCTCTGCGGGTCACAGCGGAAATGGCGCCGCTGACCCGAATTGTAGCATATCATATAGCGTCGGGATTTGTTGGCAGCGACATGGCAGAATTCCACGTTGTGCAGAATTCCGTGCTCAGAAATGTGGGTAATTATAAACAGCAGTCTAATATTGTCGAACTCGACGAAAATATTTCGGCACTGGGACACGGACTACAGCCTGTGCTGACTGTATACTTAGATTAGTATAATGCATGTTTAATAGCGACTCGGCGGTATATTTCATAATGCCTAATTTAACCCTGCATTAGCTGAAATTCCGAGACTTTACGCCTCTACCGAGTAGAAATAATTCCCTGAAAGCCATTATTGGTATCTTTCATGCGTAATGCTCCAGATTCTAGCTTCTCTTTTGTATAAATCTCGACAATTCAGCTGAGAACAACGGTTTTCTCTAGATGACCTTGACGGTCACTTCCGAGAATGCGAGCCGGAAGCATGTTCTGCCAGGACGTGGTGAGAAAATTCAAGTAGATGTATGCGCCACAAAGAACGCGCTGGTAGGCTTACTAGCAGTGGAAAAGGGCCTTCGCCAACTGGACCCGGACTTCGATAGTATTGCTAAACAGGTACCACCAGAAACTGTTCCTTTGCGGTGAGCTTAATGCTATAAAAACGATTTTTGTTGCGTATGAAACTAGATTGTGAACCAAAAACTACCGACTGACGATCTGTACGACACGGTAAATGGCGTCGCTGACCTGTCACCATTTTCAGTAAGTTGCGTTTGAGGATACTGCATGTATGAGCAGTGAAAACTGATTAACGAAGGGTGGGTCTCCAATTCGAAGCCACTCCAGTTGCGATATAGCGTACCGTATCTACAATCTGACTAACTGAGGAGGCTACGGTCTATGTTAAAAAGCCTGCGAACAGCCTTTTTTGCCCGCTGAGGCTGATTGATTAATGCAGCCTCTCTGTTGTGACTATAAATAGACCGAAGACAGAGGATTTCAGTGCTGCCAGAAAGCGCAAGCGGAATGCTGCCTCGTTGTATCGATCGATCGGCACATGTGTGTGCGAGTTGGTTAATCCGCTCGCATTCACTTACACGCGTATGAGTGTGGCTGTCTGTGCGCGTATGAGCTGTACAAACCGGTTTTCGCTGTCTTCGCTAGAACGCACACCCTAAACCCGTAGCTTCCTTTCTTGCTCGCATTGTATAGGCGTGGCCACTGCATACAACATGTATGCCTGCATACTGTGGATCTTAAAATTGATACACCCACCTCGTGTGGTTTTGAGCAACCGTACCAAAGCTAGTTTCGCTTAAATTGTGTGTACCCTAATAAGTGTAGAACCCTTGGGTTATTGTAATAACAAAACAGAAAAGTGCGGCGAAGTACATACTTACGTAGCTAGTGATCCTTGGCGCACTCATCGGATTACTTTTAATCGCAGTCCGCAGTATCAACCCACTATCATGAATTTCCCAATTTTAGAGCGCTGGTCTCGTTGCCCAGCTCTTCACTTTGGACTCTGGTGGCTGTAATCCTGCCCAAAAGCGTAAGTACGCAGCGGTACCCGACAATTTAAGTCGTACCGTGCACGATAGGTCAATTGCCTGAAATTTATTTAGGTCAATTATTTTTTTACATATTTACAGGAGAAAAAAGCACGCCGGTACAAATTTTTCGTCAAGATTTTCGCGACAGTTTCCTGTTTCGGACCGCCGTTACCAAGTACGGTGGTTCATTAATTTTACGGATCGTTTCTTGAGCCGTGCGGATGATCTGATCATGATATCAATCTCTTGTTAGTGAGCATGGAGCTTTGCGACTGCTGGAACCGATTCCAGACGATACTGCAGTATGGACGCTTAGTGCGTTCGCTGTTAGTTCCGATGAGCCATTAGCGGTTACCACAGTTCCAGCAGAGGTGAGCGATGGAAAAAAATGAAAACTAATGCAGCTTTTGGATTTATAATATAAACTTAATATACAATATTCAAAGTAACTAGCAAAAAGACGGATTTAGCGCGCCGTTTTATGGGCGTAATAAAACACAAACGTTGGGCACGCCTTCGTACGAGTAATTGGTGGTTAAGTTGCAAGGTAGCTGCATGGCGTGCATGCTCATTAAGTTTTGTGTATGACATTAAATTTTGAAAATACTGGACCATCGATCAACTGATCGAACTTTGCCGTTGCTTTTCGTATAGATCAGCGTCTTCCAAGATTTCTACATCGAAATGCACTTGCCGGTACGCTGGTCGAACACGAAGTGGTCTTCATGTCAGCCACTGTCTTCGCTATGGGTTCTGTTCCGGTGACTAATGGAGCCTGGAAATTGGTGGTGGAAATCGGGCATCCGTTCCCCGAGAATACATTCGCGTTTGACTATCAGTACGATGGAAAGAGTGCGCGCTCGTACCAGTTCCGCTTCGGTCCCTACAATGCCGGCATACAAACCGTCACAGCTTCGCTGCTGAGAGGCAACGAAGTGGTTGACCGGCTACGGAAGAACATCATCGTCATCCAAAGCGGCGTTAGCGTGATCAATACAACGGAAATATATTTGCTCGATAGTTCTACCGGCTTCACCGTAGCCTTACCGTTGGTGTCGTACAGTGAATCCGTTGCAGAAGACTCGCAAAGCTGCAGTTTACAGATGTTCAGTAAGACCTCAATTAAAGTACTTGCGAGCTACTAATTGTAGTTAAATGTTAAAGGTCACAAGCTGTGTCCTGTGTAGCACATCCTGCAGATTATCGGTGCTCGTTTTATTAGGTTTTTAAAATGAACCAGCTAAGTATAATTACTGCAGTCACGATTATCTAATTGGACCATTTTTCCTATTCACACAAATGCGTGCCCTGCAGGTGATTCGTGGGGATCGCTAGCGCAACAAGTGGTCGCACCAGACAATGTTAAAGACTACGATCGTATAGTGAAGTACCGAACATGCAACCGCAAATCCTGCGAGCAAACGGTCGCCTGGCTGCTGTCCATTGGCTACCTACGACAGCATCTCCTGCGGATTCAGTCGAGCGGAAGTCAGGGCGGGCTACAACCGTTGCTCGAGCAGCTTTCCCATAATATAACAGACTGTACGTGTTCTTTGCTAAGCATCATAAAACGTTTTTCATTGATCGTAATTTTAACAGTTCTTGAAGTGCTAGTATTATATTTTTCCCGTATGACCTTTGTGTCATAATCTCACATACACTGAGAACTTGCTGCTGTTTCAGTGCGGAAGAAAGCGTTACGGCGATTTCTGAATACAAAAGACGGTTCATACAAGTACGTAGACGCAGATAACCGTGCGAGTACATCAATAAAACGTCCTGATACATGGTCATTTCAGCCTTCTGGGAAGCCGGTCTGTACCAGGTTCGACTTGGTTAACCGCGGCAGCGATTCGCGCGCAGCTGTTAACAAGCGATATCGTTCCCGTCAACGCAGCGGCGCTACTGCAGTCCGTGACCTTTCTGGACAGCCGGTTTGATGCCGACCGCGATGAGTTTGTAGAACGCGGCACCGTCTCGGACATTGCCCAACAAGGTGGCGCCGGGAGTGGCGTCGGCCTAACTGCTTTTGTTTTATTGGCGTACGCCCAAGCTGCACAGTTGACTCCTGCTGCACGCACAGGCTGCATTAGAACGCCGGCTTCCCACCTTGAACAACGCCTTCGAAGTGGCGATTACGTGTTTCGCTCTACGGAAAGTAGGCAGTGTGGCGTTTGCCCAATGTGCGGAAATGCTGATGGCTCTGAGCCAGTACGCCCCGGGAGTACGGTACTGGCGTGCTCCAAAGGTCAAGCACGGGAAATTATCGTTTGATATCGATGTGGAGACGACTGCGTACGCGCTGCTGGCTTTGAATAATTTCTCCATTGCCACGGATGTCGGACCGATTGTTAATTGGTTGACATCACGTCGCAGTCCCCGCGATATCTTCCAAGCGGTACAGGTATGCGGTACCAACATCGCCTTTTTACTTTCCGTTTGCTTTTTAGCAAAGTTTCTAATAACATGATCAGTCGCGGACGCTCAGACTTGCGTCCTTCGTAAATCATATTGTTAACAACTCAAAAAGCTCGTATTTGCAAGTTTCGGTCACAAGTTTCAGGGCGCCCAGAATTAACTGACCTTTATTAAAACCGGCTGTTTATGTTCAGTGTGTTGTGTTTCCGTTGCAGAATGATATTATATCGTTGTTTGCCATAAGCGAAGTCGCTCTGGATTTCGTCCACGAGAGCAAACCGTGCCAGATGCAGGTGACCTTTGAGAGCGGCCAGACACAGACGGTCCGTGTAGATCCCGACCAGATTGCACCACAGTTCCTCAGTGTGCCGTTGCCGGCCAGTACGGTGGCGCTGAGTACGGCGGGACCAGGCAGGTGCCGAGCGATTGTGGCTTGTCGGTACAATAGAGACCGCAATGTGGGTGCAATAACCGCGACTACAGACACGCCGCTGGGATCGGAACGAAAGAGGCACAGTGTTAGACGCGAAACGAACTGGAATGTCAATGTGACAAGGAAGCTCGTCACATGTGACAAGGATGCCAAACAAGTCACCTTGGAGCTATGTCTCACGTAAGTTAAGGGAAGTGGCCCGCTACATGTTGCCAAGTTTGGGTACATACACGAAAACTTCCACTATCGCGCACTCCCAAACACTTTTTTGCATCGTTTTGTGGCATTCTGACGCCAAAATGATTTGCATACGTTGGTGTGAAAACCATTTGTGCGCGTAACATCCATTTGGAAAGTTGTGGGCGAAATAAGATTCCGAAAAGTTTGAATGCAAGGTGAACAAAAGGTTACACTAAGAACCGATCTTTTCAAATTTGGCAGAAAAAGGCGCATAAAGCTTAAGATCGTTTTGACACGGAACTAAAATTCTAACAATAGGTTTACAATATGTATATTCCGGTAAATGGTAATGATAAATCACCAAACTAAATCAAAAAAGAAGCAGAACTTGCCTAATTCACGAAGGTAAAAACAAGTGCAATCCAGGTGGCTGCTGAAAAATTCATTTAAAACGCTAGGAGCCCAACTGGTTGGTATAGCCAATTAATCAAGGCCGTCTTTCAATTCCGTTAAACGGTGACTTTGTGTGTTTCTTTTTTTGCTAAAATCGCTTTATTCGTTTTAGCTCGGATCAGAATCCCGAGAACGACGTTGTGGACGCAAAGGTCACGGCCCTCAGCTGCTACGTCTTTGATGACGAAGATTCGGGATTGGAGAACGTTGTAATAGACCAGGTGAGTCGTTTTAGGCATGTAATGTTCTCGATTTGGCAAAATTAAATACGTAGATCTGAGCCGGTGATTGTAGAGGTTTTTCGATATTTGTATATTATTATAATTGACTGTATGATGGAGTACATCCTCATGATCCTCTGTATAATTACTTCATCACTACGAGTTCTCGGCTAACTGTCTACCGCAATGCTCATGTATTGCGAATTTCTTAGTGGGATATACGCAACACGTCCTGCACCAAGTTCCTCATGCGGAAACAGACGTGCAAACCGGAAGTCGCAGCAGCCCGGCCTATACAGTTGCGCCGCTCAGCTGCGCGCTCCACGGATCCGGAAATTGATATCAGTTATTCCTTGAGCGATGCAAGCGACACTGATGGCAGTACCAAATAAACGGCGGAAGATAATTTTTCAGTAAATCAAGCATTTATTTTATCAAGATCTGTTGCATCTGCTGTGGACAAAACTGCCGATGAAACTGCCAAACCCTTTTATTCGCAAATCGTAACACGCAGCATCGTTTATTGCTTAAAAAAGTAAAGTCAGATAAATAGACATCTGCATAATTATGAACCAGCATCTGTAATCTACGAGTATTTTGTTATGTGACTTGCGCAAGCGATAGCGCTGCAACTTTGCAGCTGCAACACAAAATTCCTTTTACGAGGATATTGGTGATATTGGTTATTTAATTTGTTTTGCGGCTTTTTCTACCCTCGGACGGCGGTCGATCAATTTCCCAAGCAAGTACAGAAAACACGAATGTTTCGGCAAACACGAGTCGCGAAATACAGTACGACACACGTTATTAGGTGAGCGACGTTAATAAGCGTCGGTTCACTAAGACATACCGAAAGAAATCACGCAGTGCTCGTAGCATATAAATATATACAGTTACGCAGAGTAGGTGACCAATCATACGACACGGTTGTCCATAAGGGTTTTCTTTGACATCAACGCTTAACGGCACCGACAGTCTGGTGACGGGGGTTCGCAGGTCGCCGGCTTCCCGTCATCACACATGATTTGGGAGCACCAAACTATGTCAATGGAAAAATGAATTAGCACTAAACGGATCGTATGAAAATAAGGAAACTGACAGTGCCGCCCACTTACCCATGCACAACTCCCATACCGATTGCCCATTGCTCAGGCTTGGAACCAGTGCCACGGCGAAAATGCACAAAAGAATCCACTTCCACCAGAGTAGTGTTGCCTTCATTTTTCGATAGGTAGTGTTGCCGTTTCGAATATCGTCCGGAAATACCTACACGGTGCTTTTCAACAGTTCTTCAAAAGTAACAACGGAAACCGTCGAAATTATGGCAACCATATGGTTTGCAGAAGTATTCGCAATAAACAGAAGATTTAATGTTAATTACGCATTATATATACAAAATATCAGCTGACAGCTGCATTCGTTTATTCCTTCCTACCCTAGCTAATTTATCCTGCATCTGTTGTCTCTATGTGTGAAGTCGGTAACCAACTGAATAATCAGCACTTCCGGACTAGATTACCAGTCATTTCCGGGAGAAGATTTACGAGGCATGGTTTCGAGATAGCGGAATATTACGACAATCGGACATCCACTGCTTTCCGCATATTAACAAGTGTCATCCAAGTGCCCGCTGCCGACTATTGTCTGTGCTCTTGTAAACAGGAAGTGTGTTAGGTTTTGCCTAGATTTCTTGGAACTGTCTTCATGACAGGCTTCTACAACTGCATGCCCGCATTCGCATTGGTTGTGTGACTCAAACAAACAGACAATATGTTTAATAAACAAAGGTAGACCAGAAGACATCTAATAAAGCGAACAACTTTGATGTATTTTACTATGTGTTTAAATACAATCAATGTTATCCATGTTATTTTCATTATGTGGTTATGGAAGTGAAAGCAGGTGGTATGCAACACATCAAATTTATAAAGTACAGATACGAAGCTTCGTAATGATTTCGCCGTGCTGTTAAAGTTTCTTTTTAACCAGTTGTTGCTATATTTTTGCTCAGTGACTACGTACATTGCGACACAACAGATCATGACACCGTACACTGCACGTACTATCAATAATCAGTTTTGATTTTTCGCTTGCAACTTCAGCTGTTCATTTTTTTGTACAAACATGCGTCTTCATTCGTTTAGGGTTGACCAATTTGGTGCATTTGCGACACGGGACAGAAGCTATCTGACTATGCACGGAACTCGCACAGTGCGACTTCAGGTTCGCTTTCGTTCTGAAAGATTTTCCGCACTTTTCACAGACAGAATCACTGCTCTTAGAGAGCACCGGAAGGGGAGGAGGGAGGTCACCAAAAGAGACAGGTACCGAATTCCCCGGAATGTCCTTTTCGATGGGCATCGGCATTCTGGTACAGTTTTTAGCGTTGCCGTGTTTGCCGCGCGTCAGCTTTCCTGCGTTCTCTTCTGCGAAAAGAAATTTAAACCGGCTCATTATGCAATCACTACCCATCCAATTAATTAGCAATCAATTCAACTAGATTTGATAGAAGTATAGAAGAAAAATAAGTACAACACCGATGGGGACATTAAAAAAGCCAACGAAATTATTCTTTTTAACCGTGACCTGCATCGGATTCGTTGGAATCATCGCTCGGCGCCCCACAATTCTCCCGATAATAACGATCGGTAGCGATGGCAACCGGAGGCTCGGGGGGAATTCGGGATAAGCTGGAAGAACGGTTGTCGGCGTGTGCTGCACTGCACCATCGGGAGAACTGACTGAATCGTGGTTTGACGGCCTTCGACGCAATCGTTTTGTGGGCGACACAGAACGCATCTGTGACACGGATCCTGCAGCACGTTTCTCTACAAACAGAAATTTACAATATCGGAAGCCCTGCCGCAAAGTCAACAGCAAAACTTAGCCTTTCATTTCGAAATAAACCAGTATACGCCCCTGGCTTACCTGTCTTTTCATAACTCCTTTCCTGACTGAGATTGTCGATAATTCTGGCATAATCAACCGAATAACCTATCTTCAATTCCCCATGTTCAGCAATTGCTCGCGTTGTGACTAAGATTACGCTGCTACTGCAGTCGGCTGACTGATCATTTCTTTCGGCCTAAATAACAAAATCTACATCGTTTACGATCAAATTGCTAGATGATCCAAAACGAAATGTATAAAAGAAGGAAATCAAACAAAAATTCTACAGCAATCGGAACTCAAATCCCTCTAATCAGTTATGTAAAATCACGTTGTTCATTTACAAAAAAATCTTATGATAGTCACAGTTAAGGGAAAAAATTGAGGGACAAAATCAGTTCAAATTCAGCCAGAGTTATAACGGTATGCCCGAGATTTTTCCGGAGCTGTACCTCGTAAACGACCACATTCTGTTCTTCCGGGGTCACTGCAAACCTAACGAACTTCATCCAATTGGACGTGTCGTTGCTGTCCAGCTGGAAATAGCGCATCGAACTTTTCCCGGCACTTCCACATACAAAGTCGAACTGCGCTGGTTTTGTGTCGGAAACGGATCCCACTAACGGGCCGAATATCGTGTTGGAGGAAAGAGAGGACCGGGCGAACACGGCTCTTTCTAAACATATAATGACTCGAATGACACGCCTGCAAATACAAAGCGACAGCGACTCGTGGCTGACAAGCTCTGAAACTTTTTGCGAGTCACTAACTCGCAATGGGCAAAAACTATACTTCAAGTACATAAAATTCACCTCAGTTTCGGCGTAGCGGATGACTACAGTTAGTAACAATTTCAAACGAGAATTATTATTCCTGAGTACTGATTTTGACTTTTGAGTACTGATTCGTGCAATCAGTAATACTGGCAATTAATAATTTAATATGCTGTTGATAGGAGCATGCTATTCATATCCACTTCCAAATTTTTCATGAAATTTTTTGTATAAGAAACTTACAACTGCTGGTGATACCAGGTTGTTACAGTATGTTGCACATTTGATAATTCCCAGAAATTTTTGTGGCGAAAATAAAATCAGATAGACGAAACGTGCTCGTATGAAGCATGATTTAAAACAATCATATTAACAATACGGCAAGGTCGATAAATAAGTGCATGATGGGATTTTACCACTGTGTGACGAAGGCGACCATGACAAATCCGGGCAGTCCAGATAGAGAACGTCCGGGAGGCTGGCGACAGCGTAGGGAATGACGGGTTTATCAGCGCCTGATTTAGCATGCTGCAAGCACGGCCCCTCCAGAAATGTTCCGCAATCGTCGCAATCTGCAACAACAGCCAATTCCGCTTTATTTCCGTTTTGTAGCTCACTAGCTGTGATCTCTTAACTTCGGGCTTACAAATTCGAGATAGCGGCTCACAATCCCGCCGTGAACACACCGTGATACAGCAGTCTTTTCCTGCAATTCCCGACAACTGTCAACTGCTGCTCGCAATCCAAATATAAAAGCGAGCTGTACTGTTCCGGCAGAGTCTTGCGACAGTTTTGCAAAATCCCGCTCTAATCTGTCGACATTTCCATCCCCGCCAGCATAGCGTTGTTGTAGCGTACAATGGCGTTTTCGTAAGCGCTTCAGTTGACATCGTAACTTGTAAGTTGTTGCACGCGCCTTTCGTAAACGAGAACCGGTACGGGCTAAAACCGGATCCGGATAAACGGTCGAAGGGAGAACGACGCCCGGGACATCAGCATTCCCGCATGCTTTGACTGGATATGGGACCGTGTTAGAGCGGCGACGAAACGATCGAATCCGGCTACATTTTTTCCGCAGTTTAGCCTTGACATAACGCAGCTCTTGCTCGAGTTTATCGTTCAAGTGAGACAGGCAGAGAATCTGATTTTCGCGGCTGGATTTTTCTGCTGTCGTCTCAGAGCGTAAAACCATTGAAGGACCTACAATAACCTTTCCCAGTGTTTTGTAGACTTACTGAGCGAAAAGGCTTACCATTGGGCAGATTTACAATGGGAAACGATTGTAATTCCGGATCGGTGTGCTCTACAATCGGCTGTGTTTGGTTTTGTCTCGGGTGGTGTAATCGGCCAACGCTTTGCAATGCCATTCCGGTTACGGGTCTAAGCAGGGCGCAATCCGAGGGAAACCGAGAAACGGCTGAAAAAGGCACCGATGGGGGAATCGAACCCCGTCTAATGATAGATCAATGTGATCTATATACGGCAACCAGAACAGAACTGATTCCGCGTAGTGAGCAATGCTACCTGTATTGCGAACAGCGAAATAACACGCGATGCCGCGTAGCTAATTGCTAACTTTTAAAATTGAAAGTCTGGACTGCAGAAAATCAACACTGATCGGCGCAGCTCGATCGTAAATCGTAGGCCTTGTCCCGAATTCAAAGCGAATCTCGCTATGGTACGGTTGCTCAACCCCACGAGGTGGCTGTATGCAGTGGCCACGCCTACAGATACGGTACGCGAAGCCACCTCGCGAGGTGGAGTTGCTGTAACGCAACGAGATTCGCTTCGAATTCGGGACGAGGCCGTAGAGCCAAATCCACACTGTGCAGCACGTGCACTATGCCGCGCCCACTAACAAACGCAAGCCAATCGTAAGCGAGACACAACACAGACACATAATCCGATGGCGTAGCGCCTAGCGCCACAGGCGTGAACGCTAGTGATCCCTCGCCTCACATGCCTCTGGGGGGGATGCCGAGCTCCGTTGAGGCTCAACACTCTCCAGAATCCACGAAAAGACGACGGTCGCCGGTGTCTGTGCGTGCTCAAAAACATCAAACTCTCTTAATCCATTTTATCACATCAATTCCGTAAAGCACAATTTGATTAACACGATGTGAATAAAGAGATCCATTTATAAAAAATACTATCAAATCAACAGTTAAACAGATCAACAGAAGTATTAATCAAAATGTAGACTAGGATCCTCCATTTCTGACTCGTAAAGGTCACAGGTCCTGTCCACCGTTTTCCGCACTTTGGCCCATTCCGCTCCGTTAAGCAATCCTGCGCATACGTAATGCGACTTTTTCATCACAATCCGCTTGAGAATCAGGTGCGTATCAAGTACGACTTAGGAATACTGCTTCATTCTTTTAAATAAGGTGCGTATCAATTGTACGACTTAAAAATGAGATCCATAAAGTCACGGAGGGACGTCATGCAGACAAGCGTAGTTCGCTTCCTCCCTGGTAAAGGTCATCGCCAGTGCAGCGTTACATCTCGACCATTCTGAAAGGTCATCTTGGGAGGCCTCTTGGCAACATTCAGTGCATTCCCATTGTGGTTGCACTCTACGCGGATCCTCGTAGTAGCCGTGTCCGCAACTCCCAATTCGTTCTTCTGGAGTTAATGTCCTATTTGACTGGGTGACCTTTCCATTGTCTTTTTCCATTTGATCTCTTTGTTCCTGTTCAATTGAAACTACGCTCCCCTCATCGGAGGATATTTCGATAGCCTCTGGTTCTTTGTTGGATCGGTGACCTTTCAACTGTTCAATGGCCTTGTTGCGGATTTCGCTCGCAAACATCTGTTCCTCTTCAACTGTTTGTTTTAACGGAATGCGTGACCTTTCATTCTTTTTGTCTTTCCAGATTTTAGTCATCTTTATTCCCAGTGCCTCTGGTACTGGGATAGGCTTTGCCCACTCCAATCCAGGCACGAGCGATTGTTTCGCTGCAGCTACCGCTTCTTTCTCTATCGCAGCTATCTCTTCAAGCGTTGGTGACGTTTTGTCATTGGTAGCATTGGTAGCAGATCGTGGTTCGAAAAAATTCGAAGTACGCTCTGGTGCTGGTGACCTTTGATTTCCTTTTTCCAGTGCCTCTGGTACTGGGATAACTTTTTCTTCATTCCCTTTTCCTTTTGTCTTTTCCGGTGCCTCTGGTACTGTGGTAATTTCAGTTTGTTGCACTTTCATTTCGTTCTGCTGCACTTTTGTCATTCCCGGTGCCTCTGGTACTGGGATGACCTTTTCTCTTCCCTTTTGTGTCAGCAGTGACCGATTTAACGTATTCTCGATTTCCTTATGAAACACTTTCATTTGTTCAAATACCGACAATTCCTTTTGTACCATCTTTTTCTTTTCTTTTCCCGGTGCCTCTGGTACTGGGATTAGCTTTTTATTAGGAGTTTGGGCATTTCCCGTCTGCTTTACAAGTTCGGTGACCTTTCCGACTTGAATTTTGGCAACTGGTTTTGGGTCATCTTCTTTCTCTTCTTCTCCTTCATTATCCATTAGTACAAATTTCTTTTCCAAGAAGTCGAATCCCAATAACACCTGTACGTCGTCACACTTCGGTCGGATGTAGAAGGAGTGTTCGCTAGTCTTTTTTCTTAAGGTCACTGGTGCTGTTACGAGTATACATTAGCTTAACTATTAATAATATCTCCTTATATGTGTATCATAGAAGTATCTTTCTTGCGCCTGCCCTAATCTATTTATATGTGTTTTGGAACTCAGCTCGGCTTATAAAGCGCCGGCTGACATTTGTATCCTTCAGCTTATTCTATCATTAAAGCTCACAGTAACATCCGCGCCTTTACGAAATAAGCACGTAACAACTTGGTGGCTCCGGGGCCGTTGACTGTTTTACTCAGTTAACACGAGTGCCCATGACAAATTTTGTTCTTTTTGAAAAAGTATCTTTATATACCGCGATACTTTTGTGACCTTTCCATCATTTATTTACGTATTTTCGGATTACTTGGACACCTTACAACCCTCTCCACCAGTGATTGTTATGTCGTAAACCGGTACGTACGCTACGCAGCTAATGTCTCACGCTAATGCCGCAGAAGAAGAAGTCCAGTTCCGGGAAGAAGAATACTTCTCCAACGACGAATCATCCGCTAGCGAATGTGACGACTCACCAGATCGAACGATTCTTCGAGCAGATTTCTCGCAACAACCCCGGGGTATCCACTCGTTCTCGACTCCATTTACCAGCTATACCAATTCACGATCAGTACGCCGCCCTTGAACGAGCAAACCGCCCAGCCAAAGCCCTCCAGCCACGCGAAGCGAACGAAGCAAACGAAGAGAACGAAAAAGAGGAAGTAGATAATCCACGTCTCTTCTTCGACCCAATACCTGACTCACCGCCTCGTCCAGAAAGTCCACCTTATATTCAACCACAAGAAACATCGTTTTTCGAATTACTATCGAAGCGATACCGGGATTTTAACAACAAAATGGCGAAAGAAGAGGACACGCTCGTTAACCACGCAAACGCCATCCGTGCGCAAATGGCTGCAACCGACTACTTACAACGACAACTGAATGAAATTCGCGGTTTAGCAGAGAACGGTGCCGGTGCAACTGACATCATTAAAGGTATTTCTGAGACGCATAAGAAGAAAGTGCCAACTAAAGAATTACCGCAGTTTGCAAACAAAGAAGATGAAGATTTTGAAGACTGGTTGTTAAAGTACGAGATTTGCATTAAACAGCACGACTGGACTAATGAAGACGCAATCGGTAATCTGTACCGTGCATTCAATGGAACTGCCCTGCGCATATACAACACGCTGCCTGCTGAAGGGACATGGACAGAAATGAAGAAACTGCTACGCGATGCCTTCGCCAAACAGCTGTTTGACTACGACTTGGCTAAAGACACCAAGCGCTCGCTGACGTACGCTGGTAATCCAAACGACTACTACGCCAATGTCATGCGATACCTCAATTCTATTTCTGACTCGCCGACCGAACGCGAAGTCGTGAATAAGCTGTTCGATGGGCTGCCACCGCAGCTGAAGTCAGGATTCGTGAGCAATATGCCATCTACGCCGAATGAATTCCTCATTAAGCTGAAAGAGGTAGTGAGAGAAAGCATACCAGAATAAGCAGTGGGAGAGAAGTTGCCGACTGTGTGAAGAATCCTGTCATTGCCGCCTTATTCAATAACAGCGCTGATTCACGTCACAGCAATCCTAATATGGACGATCGTTTAACTGCCATTGAAAGAGCGATTGAGAGGATGACACTGAGCGGATCCAGACCATATATGAACCGTCGTTTCGGCAGAGGAGGAAGAGAAACTTTAGAGGACAGAGAGGATACACACGAAAGTTCTGCAACTACTGCAAGCGTACCAATCACACCATTGAAGAATGCCGGCAACGAAATAAAAATAATCAAGGCCAAAGAAATATCCAGCCGTCGTATGCCAGTATGCTGCATCCGCCAACTGTTCATGCACTGCCGGCTCCGCAATATTTAAACTGAATACACAGCTTCCCTGGCTCACGAAGCTGTGGATCGTAAGTCACTAATACCTATCTGTCATTTCTATACAGGCGCATTATCATTTAACTCTTTCATTAACAATGAGCCACTCATCGCTATAATAGACACTGGGTCTGGTATTTCTTTAATTAGTGATCGTGTTGCATCAAAGTATTTATTTACTCGTATGACTTATAATGGACCTTCACTTGGGACTGTCTCTAATACAGTAGTGCAACCAATAGAAGCATGCCGCATGGACATTCAACTTTTAGGATTTAATGCCGA